GAAATTTTCGGACTTACTAGGTGACGGTCCACTGAGCCTACTAGGCTAGAGTGTAGACCTAAAGATAGGCCGTGACTCGGAACACTCCATATACATTGTGTGAACTTGATTGATTGAATATCACTTCCAACAACGCTGTGTTTCAACAGGGGATGTTAAGAACCGGAGAATCCGGTTCCCAGACTTTGTTGAGTTTTAACGCGCTGTCACTCGGGCTCCACTAGCGCCAATGTAGCCCGAGTGATAGCGCGTTAAAATTCAACACAAATTCTCGATTGTAGTCCCCACAAAGCAAAAGAGCGAGGTGGCCAAGGTCACTTGGCACATGGTCAACAGATTGGAATTGCAATCGGGGAAGAAGCTCAAGTCGGTGCGGACGGATCGGGGCGAGAAATACGTCAACAAGGCCCTTGAAGATGTACGTTTTCGGGAGCAAGGGGACGGTACAAGAGAAAATGGCCCCCTATAGCGCCGAGCAGAATGGGTCGGCGGACCGGCTTAAGCGGGAGTCGTAAGAGAAGACACGGGCAATGCTTGAGGACTTAGGGTTGGCCAAAGAGTTGTGAACGGAAGCCGTGGTGAGGGCGAACTACACCCCGAATCGGACGCTAGTGAGCGTCCATGGGAGGACAGCCTGGGAAGTTTTCTTCAGTAAAAGCCGAATCTTGGGCATATGAGGGTTTTTGGGGCCCAAGCGTTTCGCCACGTTCCCAAGCGGCGAAGGCGTAAGCTAGATCCGGTGAGCGAGCGATGTGTGTTCCTTGGATCATCTCCGGGGACGTCATCCTTGATGAGGGAATCGGGGGAGATGGGGTTGTCGAGCTTGGCTCCGATCCCACGGACGGTTCCCAGATGGCGGAGGGCCACGGCGCACACGGAGACCCAAGAGGGACCCAAACATAATCTCTGCGCGAGGGCGACGCGGCCGCGCGCGCGCACGAGGACCTGCGGCCGCCGCGCGCGAATTCACAAACGGGCCAAATGAGGGCAAGTCTGAAACTGTGCGCAAGACCAGGGCAGAGGCGGAAGAAATTGAGATAGAGGATTCCGATTGAGGAGGACATTCTCTATCTCTATCTCTGTCTCTCTCTATATCCTCCTCAATCGGAATCCTCTATCGGAATCCTCCTCAATCGGAATCCTCTATCCCGTAAATGAGCGTGTCCTCGTGCGCGCGCGGTCGAGGAGTGGTACCGCGCTAACTTAGCGGCGGAACGGAAAGCGGGGAAGCACCCCAAAAAGACGTGGAAGCATCCAAAACCGCTGACTTATCAGAAAACCGTAGAGGGAGAAGAGAGTGAACTATGGCGGAAGTCAATGGACGAGGAGATACGGACTTTGTTGGAAAACGGGACCTGGGAGCTCGTTGAAAAACCGGAAGGGGTAAAGGCGGTTCCCATGAAGTGGGTTTACAAGATAAAGCGGGACGCTCTCGGAAATGTGGAGCGGTACAAGTCCCGGTCGGTGGCGAAAGGGTACCTGCAAAAGCAGGGAATTGACTTTGAGGAAGTCTACGCCCCAGTGAGCAAGCACACGACTTTGCGTCCGCTATTGGCGGTGGTCGCGGAGCGTGACTTCGAGCTGCACCAGCTAGATGTTAGACGGCGTTCCTCAATGGGGCGTTGGAGAAGGGGATCTACATGCAGCAGCTGCAGGGAGACGAGCAAGGCGGGCCCACCATGGTTTGCCACCTCAAGCGCACCTTGTACGGGTTGCGCCAGGCGCCGCGTGCATGGCACATGCGCCTGAAGGAGGAGCTCGGGAACTTTGAATTTGTGGCGTCAATGGCGGACGCGGCGCTCTTCATGGAAGTAGTAGCCGGGGAGCGGGTCTACCTAGTGGTGTGGGTGGACGACATCCTAGTGGCGGCTCGGGGAGCGGACCGCATTGCCAAAGTAAAGGCGCATTTGGGGAAGAAGTTCGATGTGCGCGACTGGGGGAAGGCGAAATACTTCCTCGGCATGGAGCTGACGCGCAATAGGGAGGCGAGAACTTTGAAGCTAATCCAGAAGAAGCTGAAGGGGGAGCTTGTTGGACGGTACGGACTAGCGAGCGCTTGGGCGCGCTCGGTCCCTCTCGAAACGGGGGACAAATCAACCAAAGAAGGTGAACCCCTCGAGACAAAGCGGTTTCCCAACAGTGAGTGCGTGGGGAGCTTGTTGTACTTGAGTGTGTGCACTCGACCCGACATTGCACAGGCAGTTGGCGCGCTTGCGCGCTTTATGGCGGGGCCGACGGAGGAGCAGTGGCGGGCGGCGCTTGGAGTTGTGCGCTACCTAGCGGGTACGGCAGAGGACGGGGTAACCTTTGGGGGGAGTGGAGCAGAGAGACTCTCATCGCTTATTGCGACGCGGATTATGCGGGTGACGTGTTGTACGGTATAGAAAGAAAATCTCGGACTTACTAGGTGACGGTCCACTAAGCCTACTAGGCTAGAGTGTAGGTCTAGAAATAGGCAGTGCTCGGAACCGTGTACATTGTGTGAACCTGATTGATTGAGTATCACTTTCAACAACGCTGTGTTTCAATTGAAGCATCTCGTAGAATGAAAGTCAACAATATAACAACACCTTAGGTCACTCTATTTCCGTAGCTCTTCCTCTAGCCAATGTCGTATCTTCTTCCACCGCCCGATGGTTGATCTAGACGTATGGACTCTTTTCTAACGAACCGCTCACTTTACCAGTTCTAATTCGACCCTATTTCCAAGTCGGTATCGGTACTTTTTGTGATTCTCGCTTAACCACTCGAGTCAATTCACATAAAAGATTGACGATCCGAGTCAACACGTGTTGAAACTCATGGTAAGGAGTCGTAGTGTAGTTGAGATACTCGTCATCGGGTCTTATCGTGTTGCCCGGCACCCATGCTCATCACTTATTGATGGCAGCCATGCATCCGAAGAGGAACACCGAAGCGCCTCAAAAGCGACTTCCTTCTCTCCACGATCTTCTCTTAGAATGATTTATCACAATAGCGTTTCTCACCACGATTGTCTCACGGATCCCTCCCCTTCCACTAGGCTCACTAGCCTGCTAGGCTCACTAGCCTCAGTCATCGTCTACTAGGCTCACTAGTCTAGCTCACAGTCACACTCAATGCTAGCCTTCGATATCCTCATCTTCGGCTAACACTGACGGCCGCTCTCAACCGCCTAACCTCCAAACCGCCTAACGGTTTAACCGTCCAACCGCCATACACGCACGTCGGCGTTCACTAGTTCAAACCCTAACTCGGGCGGAACCCTAATCACACAGTAATTCGGCTGACCATAATCACCGAATTCTAACGCTCCCACTCAGACGGATTACTCTAGACTCTAACTCGTCACGCTCCTCTTGCGGGCTGTCTTCTTCGCCTTAAGCGTCATCCACACGCCTCCACTCTCGCCATCGTCGCTTTTCTCCGGCGACGTCTTCTCCACTCCGTGCTCCGGCTCTTCGGCTCCCACGGCTTCCGTTGCTGCTCCCACATTTGCCCAATACCACTCGGCGGGCTCCCGTTGCACTCTCGCGGGATATCTTCCCAAGTCTTGGGACTCCACTACAGGCTTCTCCTGTACCTGTTCCACATCGCCGGGCTCACTCTCTACCGCCGTCCCTAGGGTCTCCTTGCCCTTTCCGCTCTCCTCGGACTCCTCCACAAGTTCGCGCACAACTTCCACAATCGGCCCACATTGGCCCACTTTTGTATCTGTGCGCGCGACGCGGCCGCGGTCCGTCGCGGGCGCGTGCGCGACCTCTTCGCGCATCACTTCAAACTCCGCCCCTCTTCCGACCATTTTTGAACCTGTGCGCGGCCCTTCGTCCGCCCCCACAAAAGTTTCCCACTCTCGTTCGACGCCCCAATTATCGTCGTCCGACTCGTCTAGGTCGACCTCCACGACCTTCACCGTCTTTTTCACCACGCTTTCCGCTCTTACCGGCCTCTTTGCCGTAGCGCACACCCTGTTCCCCTTGACCGGACCCCTCGCAAGGAATGCCCTCTGCTTCCCCACGGTCTCAATCTCCCACAGTCCTCCACGCTTGACTGCCTCCATACGGAGCACATTGTCCATCATCAATCTGCGCGATTCTCCCCTCGAGCACCACTCGTGCTCCCGCGTCAGTCGCTCTACTTAGCGAGAACAAACCTGCTTGTGCCCTCGGAGCGTGCCGGACCTCCTTCAAGGTTACCGTACTCACACCGCTCGGAATCTTACACTTAAGCTCCACTTCTTCAATGCCTACCGCTATCAGAGACTCACCACAAATCCCGAAAATCTTCTCTTCACGCACAAGCTCTTTGTAGCTCGTGAACTGGCTCCGATCGGCCGTGACATGCTGGGTGCTGCCCGAATCGACAATCCACACCCCTTTGCGCACATCCCCGTCGTCGCCCCACGCCGTAAAGGCTACCCCGTTTGCATCCCCGGCAGACTCTCTCTCTTCTGCGCGGCCACTTGCGCGCGCACTCTGCCTACACACTGCCTCTGTGTGGCCCGTCTTGCCGCACTTGCGGCACTCGGCATCGCGCAACCTGCACTTTGCCTTCAAATGGCCCACATTGCCAGAATAGCACGTTGACGGGTTTGAGCTCTCGCCTCTGCCCTCCGAGCTTCTTCCCTGCTCGTTTGAGCTTCCCGGGCCCTTCTCTGAGCTCGAGTAGCCTCTATGCTTGGCAGCATACGCCACTGCTCCATCTCCACCCAAAATCCCGTCTACGGACCCCGCTTCAGCCCTCAACTTTAGCTTCTGCTCTCTTTGCATTAGCTTTGGCTGGATGTTAGAATCCGGTGATTATGGTCAGCCGGATTACTCCGTGATTAGGGTTCGGACCGAGTTAGGGTTTGAACTAGTGAGCGCCGGTGTGCGTGCACAGCGGTTAGGCGGTTAACCTTGGAGGTTAGGCGGTTGAGAGGGCCGCCGATATGGAGCCGTAGATGAGGATATCGATGGCTATGATTGAGTGTGAGTGTGATCTAGGCTAGGTGAG